AAGGTGGTGTATCATGAGGTTAGGAGTTCAAGACCAACCTCACCAAGATGGTGAAACCCCCTCTCTATTAAAAATGCAAAAATTAACCAGGCGCAGTGGTGGGCGCCTATAATTCCAGCTATTTCAAACCCGGGAGGGAGATGTTACTGTGAGCTGAGAACTCACCACTGCACTCCAGCCTGGGTGACGGAGCAAAACCCTGTCTCAAAAAAAAAAAAGGAAAAGTGTTCGCTTTGGCAACACATATAGTAAAACTGGAACGATACAGAGAAGATTAACATGACCCCTGCGCAAGGATGACATGCAAATTCGTGAAGCGTTCTGTAATTTTTTTTATTTTAATTTTTATTTTTAATTTTTTATATTTTTTATAGAGACGAGGTTTCACCATATTGGTCAGGCTGGTTTCAAACTCCTGAGCTCAGGTGATCTACCCACCTCGGTCTTCCAAAGTCCTGGGATTACAGGCATGAGCCATCTCAGCCGACTGAGTGTTCCATATTTAAAAAAAAAAAAAAAAAAAAAAAAAAAATCGATGGGCTGCTTTCTCTTAGCAATACCTATTTAAGGCTGGGCCTGGTGGCTCACGACTGTAATCCCAGTACTTTGGGAGGCTGAGGCGGGCGGATCACAAGGTCAGGAGTTTGAGACCAGCTTGGTCAGCATAGTGAAACCCAGATTCTATTAAAAAAAAAAAAAAAAAAAAAAAAGTAATATGTATTTAAAGTTCTCCATGTATGCTGTTGCTTGATAGCTCATTTCTTTTTATCACTAAATGATGTCCCATTGTATGGATATACCACCAGTTATCCATTCACTAGTTAAAAGACATCTTAATTGCTCCCAAATTTTGGCAATTATGAATAAAGCTGCTATAAACAATTACGTGCAGGTTTTGTGTAGACATGTTTTCAAATCATATGCATAAATTGTATTCCTTTTTAACTTTTGTATTTATGCACACACATTTTTATATAGTTGTAAAACTAAACTTACATTTTTTTCTTTTCTTTATTCCCCTGGGAGCATAGATTCAAGTTGCCCTGAATATACACTCCCACATATACCTTAGAAGTTGTATTTTACATAAATTTCTGCTATTTCCTTTTAAAATAACAATAATCTTTTGTTATAAAAGCAGTAGACGTGCTTTTAGAAAGTCAGCTCATATGGCTAAGCAAAAGAAAATAAAGACACTTGCCGGGCATGGTGGCTCATGCCTGTAATCCCAGCACTTTGGGAGGGCAAGGCAGGAGGATCACTTGAGTTCAGGAGTTCCAGACCAGCCTGGCCAACATGGTGAAATCCTGTGTCTATTAAAAATACAAAAAGGGGCCGGGCACGGTGGCTCAAGCCTGTAATCCCAGCACTTTGGGAGGCTGAGGCGGGTGGATCACGAGGTCAAGAGATCGAGACCATCCTGTTCAATATGGTGAAACCCCGTCTCTACCAAAAATACAAAAAATTAGCTGGACATGGTGGCGCGTGCCTGTAATCCCAGCTACTCAGGAGGCTGAGGCAGGAGAATTGCTTGAACCCAGGAGGCGGAGGTTGCGGTGAGCCGAGATCGCGCCATTGCACTCCAGCCTGGGTAACAAGAGCGAAACTCCGTCTCAAAAAAAAAAAAAAAAAAAAAAAAAAAAAAATACAAAAAAAAAAAAATTAGCTGGGAGTGGTGGCAGGCACCTGTAATCCCAGCTATGCAGGAGGCTCAGGCCAAAGAATCACTTGAACCTGGGAGGTGGAGGTTGTAATGGGCCACGATTGTGCCATTGCACTCTAGCCTGGACGACAAGAGCAAAACTCCATCTCGGAAAAAAAAAAGAAAAAAAAAAGTGAAACAACAGTAAGAGAGCACCACTGCACTCCAGCCTGGGCAACAAAGCAAGACTCTGTCTCAAAAAAAAAACAGAACAGGCTGGGCGCGGTGGCTCAAGCCTGTAATCCCAGCACTTTGGGAGGCCGAGGCGGGTGGATCACAAGGTCAAGAGATCGAGACCATCTTGGTCAACATGGTGAAACCCCGTCTCTACTAAAAATACAAAAAAAATAGCTGGGCATGGTGGTGCGTGCCTGTAATCCCAGCTACTCAGGAGGCTGAGGCAGGAGAATTGCCTGAACCCAGGAGGCGGAGGTTGCGGCGAGCCAAGATCGCGCCATTGCACTCCAGCCTGGGTAACAAGAGCGAAACTCCGACTCAAAAAAAAAAAAAAAAAAAAAAAAAAAAAAAAACAGAACAAAAAGCAAAAAACAGTGGCTTAAAACAACTGTTTTATGTGCTTATAATTCTGTGGGTCAGCATTTTGGGTTGGGTTCTGCTGGGCAGTTCTGCTGGTCCTGACTGGGGTCATTCATGTGGCTGCAGGTGGGAGGTTTGACTGTGACTGGCTGGCCTCACTCGCATAGCTGGTGGTTGGAGCTGACTCCTGTCTGGGCCCTTCTCTCCACATGACCTCATCTACCCTCAGGGAGGCTAGCCCTGGCTTCTACGCATGGCCACAGCAGTGTCCTAGGAAAGACAGGCTGGTGCACAAAGCCTAGACTTGGATGGTCCAATTACTTATGCCAAATTTTATTGGTTAAAACAAAATGAGTGGAATCGGTTTGATTCCACCTTTGAAACAATGTAGAGGCCAGTGCAATGAGTCTCAAAGTAGGATCTAGGGATTCTTAGATGGCCCAGAGATTCTTAAAAAAGGGACCGGTTGCTGGGCGCGGTGGCTCAAGCCTGTAATCCCAGCACTTTGGGAGGCCGAGGCGGGTGGATCACGAGGTCGAGAGATCGAGACCATCCTGGTCAACATGGTGAAACCCTGTCTCTACTAAAAGTGCAAAAAATTAGCTGGGCATGGTGGCACGTGCCTGTAATCCCAGCTACTTAGGAGGCTGAGGCAGGAGAATTGCCTGAGCCCAGGAGGCGGAGGTTGCGGTGAGCCGAGATCGCGCCATTGCACTCCAGCCTGGGTAACAAGAGTGAAACTCCGTCTCAAAAAAAAAAAAAAAAAAAATAAGGGACTGGTGAAGTTAAAATAATTTGTCAGCTGGGTGCAGTGGCTAACGCCTGTAATCCCAGCACTTTTGGAGGCCGAGATGGGTGGATTACAAAGTCAGTAGTTCGAAACCAGCCTGACCAACATGGTGAAACCCCACATCTAGTAAAAACACAAAAATTAGCTGGGCATGGTGGCACACGCCTATAATCCTAGCTACTCAGGAGGCTGAGGCAGGATAATTGCTTGAACCCAGGAGGCAGATTGCAGTGAGCCAAGACTGCACCACTGCACTCCAGCCTAGGTGACAGCAAGATTCCAAATTAAAAAAAAAAAAAAAAAATTGTTATACTACTGTTAAGTCATCGTCCTTTTAACCCAAGTGTAGAATGGAGTTTCCCCAAGGTGTAATATATAATTTGATATTGCAAGAGACTGAAGGCAGAAGCAGATACGAGAATCTGTCTCCTATGAAGCCAAGCATGGCAGACATTTACAGGAATGTAAAACCATTGTTAATTTGTTTTGGAAAAATTTTTAGAGACAGGGTCTTGCTGTTGCCCAGGCTGGAGTGCAGTGGTGCGATCATAGCTTATTGCAGACTCGAACTCCCAGGCCCAAGCCATCCCCCAACCTCAGCCTCCCAAGTAGTCAGAACCACAGGTGCATACCATCAGGCTGGGCTTATTTTTTGTAGAGAGAGAGTCTTGCTGTTTCCCAGGCTGATCTCACACTCCTAGGCTCAAGCAATCCTCCTGCCTTAGTCTCCCAAAGCACTGAGATTACAGGTGTGAGCCACTGTGTTTGGCCCAAATGCTTTTAATAAAATTTTTATATAAACATGTCATTTAAAAATGTTCTAATAACCTGTTTTAATGTGGTGAATGTAAAGATATAAATAACCCATGTAAACAAAATTTTCCAGATTTCTTGGGTCTTGCTGTCGCCCAGGCTGGAGTGCAGTGGTATGTCGGCTCATTGCTACCTCTACCGCCCATGTTCAAGCGCTTCTCCTTCCTCAGCCTACCGAGTGGCTCGGATTATAGACACCTGCCATCACGCCTGGCTGATTTTTTGTGTATTTTGGTAGAGATGGGGTTTCACCATGTTGGCCAGGCTAGTCTTGAATTCCTGACCTCAGGTGATCTGTCAGCTTTGGCCTCCCAAAGTTGCTGGGATTACAGGTGTGAGCAACTGTGACCCTTTTTTTTCCGGACACAGGGTCTGTCACCCTGGCTGGTTTGCAGTATAGATCACTGCAACCTGGACCTCCTAGGCTCGTCATCCTCTTGCACCGCCCCCTCCCAAAATGTGGGGGTCATAGGTGGAAGCCAGCACACCTAGCCCATTTTTTTCATCTATTGGCAGAAACCGAAGTTTGAGAACCCACTTATGAGAACATGGGTACTCTTACACATTATCAGTGTTTGGGACATCTGCCAAAATTGAGATGCACAAAATCTGGCAGTGTACAGTAGCATGTATCTATAATCCCCACACTTTGAGAGGCCTAAGTGAGAGGATAGCTAGATCTCAGGAGTTGAACTAGCCGGGCAACAGGAATTGGGGGCATAGTACATGGTAAATGTGCTCATGAACAGGCACTTCACCAGCCGGGGAAACAAAGCATGGCCTCACAATTATTGGGGAGGAGTTGAGAATTGAGCACATGGGGAAGAAATGGAAGTTTGTTGTCTGAGTAGTTGGTATTCTTTCATCCGCGTACAGTTTAGCACTGACTTCTTTAGGGATGAGTGGAAAAATGCTACTGCTTTAGATTGGTAGAGGGTGGGTGAAAAGGTTATTAGCTAAGCACTATAAACGAATCTGAAGCCAAGAACACTGATGCAAAGCCAACAAACACGCTCTCTTGTAGACACCACTCCTTTCCAAACCATTCTCTACAAAAGAAAACCACCAAGTGAGCTGGTATGGTCAAACCATACCTTCAAACAAGTAAGAATTTTTTTTTTTAAAACCAAAAATTTTCAAAAAACACACAAACAAAAGGTAATTGGTTATTTAATTAGATTATTAGGACATTTAAAATACCAATTTGTGAGGATAAATTCCATTTGTTAGGGCAAACACAGATCGCAGGTAGCCCTGGAGCTGAGGAATAGCTTTGATTTTTGGTAAAATTTGTGAGTCCACAGCTTTCTGATCAATCTTGCGCTGCTCTGTAATCTCGTATTTCTAAACAAAAAGAAAATTAAACATTTTAAAACAGGCACTTACCAAATTACTTGTAAGTCAACTAAGGAGTTCTGTCTCAGAAGTACTAATCCCCAAGAATACTTAGCCAATATTAAAGGCAAATTCTGACAATTCTTTCCTTGGAATGATGTGAAATACAACTTGTTTTTAAATGTAATAAAAATAGCTCTTATGCTTTTGTATGGTTTAGTACATATCAGGGATAAGAAAGGATACATTCTCAATACAATGGTAGCAGTAAATTCCCACACAATTCCCCGAAAACCTCAGGATTCTAAGTTAAGCTCCCCACCTCCTAAAAGAACTACTCAATTTAGAAGAATCTGGGGCAGGGCACGGTGGCCTAACGTCTATAATCCCAGCACTTTGGGAAGGAGGCAGGCAGATCACCTGAGGTCAGGAGTTTGAGACCAGCCTGGCCAACATGGTGAAACCCTGTCTCTACTACAAGTACCAAAAATCAGCTTGCTGTGTTGGCGGGAGCCTGTAATCCCATCTACTCAGGAGGCTGAGACAGGAGAATCGCTTGAACCCAGGAGGCAGAGGATGCAGTGAGACTGCACCATTGCACTCCAGCCTGGGCAAGTGTGAAACTCCGTAAAAAAACAACACTGGAATACTAAGTATTTCCCAGTATTTCTCATTATTTAACCTTTGATTTTTCTTCTTTTTGTGCAACAATGCTTAGGCCTGTTTATTTTCACTCCCAGGTTGAAGGGCCAGTGCTAACACAAGAGATGACAAGTAGAAACTTACCTCTTTTTCTGTGTCGAAGATCTCACCTTCCTGGTGTCTGGGCTTTCGCAGCTTCTTCTTCTTGAAGTAAGCATCAGTAAGATGTTTTGGAATTTTTACATTGCTGATATCAATTTTGGTTGAGGTGGCAATGACAAATTTCTGGTGTGTTCTTCGCAGAGGAACTCGATTGAGGACCAGAGGTCCTAAGGGGTAAAAAATTAATTTAGTGAGGACCAATCATCATCTTACAATATGTAACCATTACTTGATACATTTAACCCACATGCACACAAGGCCATGAAATGGGCCTCAGAAACTCGTGGTATTAAGAAGTGTCAGCCGGGCGCGGTGGCTCAAGCCTGTAATCCCAGCACTTTGGGAGGCTGAGGCGGGTGGATCACGAGGTCGAGGGATCGAGACCATCCTGGTCAACATGGTGAAACCCCGTCTCTACTAAAGATACAAAAAATTAGCTGGGCATGGTGGCACGTGCCTGTAATCCCAGCTACTCAGGAGGCTGAGGCAGGAGAATTGCCTGAGCCCAGGAGGCGGAGGTTGCGGTGAGCCGAGATCGCGCCATTGCACTCCAGCCTGGGTAACAAGAGCGAAACTCCGTCTCAAAAAAAAAAAAATAAATAAAAAATAAAAAAAATAAAGTGTCAAGGATATTCTTACCAGTCACAAGTAATAAGCCACTAGCCAGCTGCTTCAGGAAAACCACCCTCTGTAAGTTAAAAAAAAAAAAAAAAAAGTAATTTTCTGCAATTAAAAACCGACTTCTGAATTAATCAAATCACAGGCAATTTCTACATGTCTATTTATATAGCATGGCAGTTCCGGAAGCAACCACAGCAAGCTACAAGGTAGCACTCTGGCATAAAGATGTTTTTGAGCAAATGAACATGTGTAACATAATCAACAGCAGGAAATGGCTAATAAATCACCATGGATTAAACTTGCTATTTTCAACCACTAAGATGTATCTTGCATATCATTTCCCCTTGCCCCAAACATAGGTGAATAAAGGAAAACTACATCTAGCATGCAAATGCACTGCCATCAGGCACCCCAGGCAGCTACAGAGAAGCTAGATAAGCACAGGCACTCTTACCTTGCCCCTGTGGCGTCCAGTGAGGATGATCAGAATGGTCCCAGGGGTAATGCTGGCTCGCAGTTTTCTCACGTGCTGACTAAAGGGTTTTTTGCCATGGCTCAACAGCTTTCGAGGCACATCTTCAGTAGGATAATACCTAGGCTGGGGAGAGTCCACAGATCCAATTTATTTAAAATAAGCCATTTAGATTAGTAGAGGTGAGCTATGTCAGCCAAACTTTTGCTATAGCCTTTTAAATTATTTGAAAGCACAACACTGTATTCATACTATTCCATTTTTCATTTCTGCTTAGATTTTAAACTTGGAAAATCTAATGCTTCTGTATCCTCTGACTGCAAAACAGAACAGAAACAATTTTTTTTTTTTTTTGAGATGGAATCTTGCTCTGTTCACCAGGCTGGAGTGCAGTGACACAATCTGGGCTCACTGCAACCTCCCCCTCCTTCAACCAATTCTGCCTCAGCCTCCCAATTAGCTGGGACTACAGGCATGTGCCACCACACCTGGCTAATTTTTTGTATTTTTAGTAGAGAAGAGGTTCTACCATGTTAACCAGGATGCTCTTGATCTCCTGACCTTAATGAATGAGCTGATGCTCAAGCAAAGAAAGCATCAACCAAGTCACCTTTGTAATCTTGAGCAAGAACTAAACCTGAGATTACACATGTGTGACATGCAACATTTTGCAGGTTAAAGATACATGGCTTGTTTTCCAATTCAAGTAAAGTGTGTTTGTATCCTCACCACTTCATCCGATCCTCACAGCAACAAGTTTTACTCCCACTTCATCCACAAAGGAAAACAAATTGCACAAAACCAGACACTAGGACTGGCAGATTATTTACTGCAAAAATTAGACACCATGCAAGGGCCATTAAAGACATGACTACAAATAACTCACAATAACCGATTTCTAACTATACTATATCATTAGTGCACTCTCACTTTCACCACAAACGTGATCATTTAATAGAAAAATCAGCTCACAAGGCAACTGTCATCTTCCCTGTCATGCATTGATCTTCAACTGTGAAATTGTATGGTGTAACATATTTGGGAATGTTCCCATAATGAAAATTACAGAGCAAGTCCTGAGACTTGGGTTTTTGTGTGGTAAGGGGGGCCAAGATACATTGCTCTAGTGAGAAACGTTCTATAGAAGAGCTTATGTATTATTTCATTTGATCTCCATATTAACTCTTTGAGGTAAACTCTCATTCCCATCTTATCTTTTGAGATGGAGTCTCCCTCTGTTGCCCAGGCTGGAGTGCAGTGGTGTAACCTCTGCTTTCTGGCTTCAAGCAATTCTTCTGCCTCAGCCTCTAAAGCAGCTGAGACTGCAAGCATGCATTGGCTAATTTGTCCTTTTTTTTTTTGAGATGGAGTTTCACTCGTTAGCGGGAGTGCAATGGTGCATCTCTTGACCTAGTGATCTACCCACCTCGGCCTCCCAAAGTGCTGGGATTATAGGCGTGAGCCAAGCCCAGCCCTCATTTGTCTATTTTTCAGTAGAGACAGGGTTTCACCATGTTGGCCAGCCTGGTCTTTAACTCCTGACCTCAGGTGATCTGCTTGCCTCGGCCCCACAAAGTGCTTGGATTACAAGCATAAGCCACCATGCCCAGCCTTATTTCCATTTTATTTTTTTTTATTACTTTCTTTTTATGAAAAAAATCCTTTAAAATACTATTTTTATTTTTTGAGACGGAGTTTTGCTTCTGTTGTCCAGGCTGGAGTGCAATGGCACAATCTCAGTTCAATGCAACCTCCACCTCCTGGTTCAAGAGATTCTCCTGCGTCAGCCTCCCGAGTACCTTGAATTATAAGCACCCGCTACCACGCCTAGCTAATTTTTTTTGTATTTTTAGTAGAGACAGGGTTTCACTATGAATAGCCAGGCTAGTCTCCAACTCCTGACCTCAGGTGATCCCACCCACCTCAGCCTCCCAAAGTGCTGGGATTACAGGCCTGAGCCACTGCCCCAGGCTCCTTATTCCCATTTTACATGCAAAAAACAAAACACAAAAGAGTAACTTAAATTATTTAAGATTAACAGTAAATGCTGAAGCCAAGTTGCAAACCCCGAGCCCTTTACTTTCTGCTAGAAACTCTGGTAAGCAGAAACTTACAGTACCTAAGCATTCAAAAACACCTTCACAGTATTTAAGCATCAACAGAAAACCCAATTTACAGTCCCCACATCTTACCATTTTGCGAAGTTTAACCACCCGGGTACCGCCGTTTTTGTCACCACCAACTGGTTTTGTAACAGTTGCAAGAACCTTCTCCTTCTTTTTTTTTTCAACCTACGAGGACACAAATACATCAGCGATTAGGGGATGCCAATTAAGGTTAAGACATAATGTCAGCGGTCCCCTCTTCCCTTACCTTGGATTTAGCGGCTGAGTACTTCCTCTTGTACATGGCCTTTCTGGAGTACATGGCAGATCGGGAATACCTGCCGATTCCTCTGACAAGGACAGGATTGCGGCTGCAATGGGGCTTCCCCTTCTTGGGCTTTTTAGCCTTGAGGTGACCCTTTTTCACTTTGCTACCAGCATCAGCCTTCTTGGCTTCAGGTTTCTTCTCTTTAGTATCCGGCTTCTCAACTTTTTCACCCGCCATCTACAAATATTTTTTTGTAGATAAAAAAGGCACTTCACAATCATTTCTTAACAAGGCAATCATCAAACTGTACATGGATGGGCTGGGCTCCCCAGACTACAATCCCTCCCCTGATAAGATACAGGCCTTCCTCTCAAACTCCAGTCTTCACTATGGTTCACTTCGGGGCTGTCTCCCCAATACACTATAAACTCTTTTTTTGAGGCTTTGGAACAGATTATCTCACACCTGTTAGGTTTTTGCCAAATACTGAGCGGTCAGATACTGTCATTATTTTTCACTACTGTTTTGCGAATTAGAAAATTTAGATGCAGAATGTGTCCACAGGTAGGAAGCAGCAGAACTTGAAACCCTTTACTTTCAGTACTTTTCGTCTTGACCTTTAAGACCACCGTCTCTTTTCAAGAAACTTGGTTTAGGAATTGCAGACACAAACACAATCAGCCCAAGTTGAACGCAAAAAGAAAAAGAACTCAAAGACCAAAAGGCCACTTCCGGCCGCGGACGCTGGGAGACGTAAAATCTTTTGGCTTGTCAGGAACCCCAACGTGGCTGAGACTAGCTCAGTGTCACTTTCTGGAACCCAGGAGCCGAGAACTCAGTGCACGCACCGTCGTCCCGCTTCCTTGAACCCACCAGTCCGCTACGGGTCCCCGAAAAGGCCTCTTTCCCCCCCAGCCCAACAGACTGGCGAAAACCCGGTGGAAGACACTACGGCATTCTACAGTGCGCCGCTGCAAACCCAAACGGCAAAAAATGAAGCGCCTGGAAGGCCTCTCAGTTAGCCATGGGTATGTCGGACCCCTGTAGGTGGCGACTGGATGCCCTCTAGGTTCGGATGGCGAAGGATTCGGAGTGCTGAACTCGAGTCTCGCAGAGAGGCCCGCCGTTCTTACCTTGCAAGATGGGAAAGAGAACTAAGGCCCCGGCTTCCGGTCTATAAGCAATCACGGGAAGTGTGAGTCTCACTTCCTTCCGGATCTGGGGCACTATGGGGAATGTAGTTTTTCCGGATTAAGAAAAAAGTAATAACGGGGCCGGGCGCGGTGGCTCAAGCCTGTAATCCCAGCACTTTGGGAGGCCGAGGCGGGCGGATCACAAGGTCAAGAGATCGAGACCATCCTGGTCAACATGGTGAAACTCCGTCTCTACTAAAAATACAAAAAATTAGCTGGGCATGGTGGCGCGTGCCTGTAATCCCAGCTACTCAGGAGGCTGAGGCAGGAGAATTGCCTGAACCCAGGGGGCAGAGATTGCAGTGAGCTGAGATCGCGCCATTGCACTCCAGCCTGGGTAACAAGAGGGAAACTCCGTCTCACAAAAAAAAAAAAAAAAAAAAAAGAAAAAAAAGAAAAAAGAAAAAAGTAGTAAATCCTAGGCTGTAATCCCAGCACTTTGGAAGGTGGAGGCAGGCAGATCACCTGAGGTTAACAGTTCGAGACCAGCGTAGCCAACATGGTGAAATACCGTTTCTACTAAAAATACAAAAGTTAGCCGGGCGTGGTGGCAAGTGCTTGTAATGCCAGCAGAGAATCACTTGAATCCGGAGTTGGAGGTTGCAGTGAGCCAAGATCACAACACTTCACTCTGGGCAACAGAGCAAATTTCCAATCAAAAAAAAAAAAAAGGAAAAGAAGAAAGAAAGAAAAGGAGGCCAGGCTCAGTGGCTCACATCTGTAATCCCAGTACCCAGCACTTTGGGAGGCCAAGGCAAGTAGATCACTTGAGATCAGGTGTCCAAGACCAGCCTGGCCAACATGGTGAAACCCCATCTCTACTAAAAATACAAAAATTAGGCGGGGCGCGGTGGCTCAAGCCTGTAATCCCAGCACTTTGGGAAGCCGAGGCGGGTGGATCACGAGGTCAAGAGATCAAGACCATCCTGGTCAACATGGTGAAACTCCGTCTCTACTAAAAATACAAACAATTAGCTGGGCATGGTGCAGTGTGCCTGTAATCCCAGCTACTCAGGAGGCTGAGGCAGGAGAATTGCCTGAACCCAGGAGGTGGAGGTTGAGGTAAGCTGAGATCGTACCATTGCACTCCAGCCTGGGTAACAAGAGCGAAACTCCGTCTCAAAAAAAAAAAAAAAAAAAAAAATTAGCCGGTCATGGTGCCTGTAATCCCAGCAACTTGGGAGGCTAAGGCAGGAGAATCGCTTAAACCCAGGAGGTGGAGGTTGCAGTGAGCTGAGATCATGCCATTACACTCCAGCCTGGACGATAGAGCCAGACTCAGTCTCAAACAAAGAAACAAACAAACAACAATAAAAAACAAAACAAAACAAAAATTAGCTGAGTGTGGTGGTTAGTTCCTGTAGTCCCAGCTACTCAAGAGGCTAAGGTGGGAGGATCACTTGAGCCCAGGAGGTTGAGGCTGCAGTGCGGTGAGTCCTAATCTTGCCACTGTCCTCCAGCCTTGCTTACAGAATGAGTCTCTGTCTCCAAAAAAGTAAAATTAAAGTGAGGATAACAACAGTAACTTACTTCATAAGGTTGTTGGGAACATTAAATAATATACACAAAAGTACTGACAAGCATATTTGATGCATGGTAAATCCTTTGTAAGAGTTAGCCGGGCGCGGTGGCTCAAGCCTGTAATCCCAGCACTTTGGGAGGCTGAGGCAGGTGGATCACGAGGTCGAGAGATCGAGACCATCCTGGTCAACATGGTGAAACCCCGTCTCTACTAAAGATACAAAAAATTAGCTGGGCATGGTGGCACGTGCCTGTAATCCCAGCTACTCAGGAGGCTGAGGCAGGAGAATTGCCTGAACCCAGGAGGCGGAGGTTGCGCCATTGCACTCCAGCCTGGGTAACAAGAGCGAAACTCCGTCTCAAAAAAAAAAAAAAAAAAAGAGTTAGCTCTTGTTATTGTCACCACCAACACCACAATCATCTCATCATCAACATCCTAGTTGTCAAATATTCTGCTAAAGTTTATGCACAGGAGATAATAAGCAATATTGCATGCTATGTGACAAGAATAGTGCTATGTGCCTTGCTTTCTCTCATTGAATTCTCCCAACAACCTGTGAATTATATTATTATGAGGAAACAGTCTCAAGGACTCAGTTAAGTAACTTGCTCACAGTCTCAAGTTAAGTAACTTGCTCACAGCATAGATCTGATTCCAAAGATTGCACCCCCTTTTTTTTTTTTTTTTTTTTTACTATCCTCAGTAACGGGTATGAGCAACAAAGATTGCACTCTTAACCACTAGGTTGCAAAGATTAAAGAGATGATTAAGGAAGATACATGAGAGTTTTGCTCATGTTAGAATTAAAAACAGGAATACCGATTATTTGGGCCGGGTGCGGTGGCTCTCCTGTAATCCCAGCACTTTGAGAGGCCGAGGAGGGTGGATCACAAGGTCAGGAGATCGAGACCATCCTGGCCAACATGGTGAAACCCCAACTCTACTAAAATACAAAAATTAGCTGGGCGTGGTGGCATACACCTGTAGTCCCAGCTACTAGGGAGGCTGAGGCAGGAGAATTGTTTGAACCCGGGAGGTGGAGGTTGCAGTGAGCCGAGATCGTGCCACTGCATTCCAGCCTGGCACCTGGCGACAGAGCAAGACTCTGTCTCAAAAAAAAAAAAAAAAAAAAAAGAATACCGATTATCTTTTGTAAAATAAACAACACAATATTTCTTTCTTTCTTTTTTTTTTTTTTTTTGAGACGGAGTTTCGCTCTTGTTACCCAGGCTGGAGTGCAATGGCGCTATCTCGGCTCACCGCAACCTCCGCCTCCTGGGTTCAAGCAATTCTCCTGCCCCAGCCTCCTGAGTAGCTGGGATTACAGGCACGCACCACCATGCCCAGCTAATTTTTTGTATTTTTAGTAGAGACGGGGTTTCACCATGTTGACCAGGATGGTCTCGATCTCTCGACCTTGTGATCCACCCGCCTCGGCCTCCCAAAGTGCTGGGATTACAGGCTTGAGCCACCGCGCCCGGCCGAACAACACAATATTTCTGATAGTTCTTTAGTGCTTCAAAGCCCGTAAACCAATAGGTACACATTTGTAATACCTTACGTTTTCCATTTTCCTCCATTTGCTTGTTTCTGGTTGCTAGAGCTTTTCACCTTGATTTTTTTTCAGATTGAAACCATCTGCTTCATGGCTGTGTCTCTGGGAATCATTTAGCCTTTTTCTGGTTCTGAAACTGAGGATACAAATACAGTGATCAGATGAACACTGCCCTTTTTTTGAGAATGGGAGTATCAGCAGCTTTATTTGTTTACCTTCCTCTGTAAAGCACCTCTTAGAAGTTTCAACAGCAGAAAATGTACCACGATGAATGAATGAAATGCACAGTTGCTTAGGTGGGCCCCTCAAAAATTCTGACAATCCCAGAGAATTTCACCTAGTAAATGCCCAGAAATATTTGTTGAATGACCCGTCATTAAAATAAAAACATAGGCCGGGCGTGCTGGCTCACGCCTGTAATCCAAGCACTTTGGAGGCCAAGGCGGGTGGAACACCTGAGGTTGGGAGTTCAAGACCAGCCTGACCAACATGGTGAAACCCTGTCTTTAAAAAAAATTAAAAAAAATAGCCGGGTGCGGTGGCTCAAGCCTGTAATCCCAGCACTTTGGGAAGCCGAGGCGGGTGGATCACGAGGTCAAGAGATCGAGACCATCCAGGTCAACATGATGAAACCCCTGTCTCTACTAAAATACAAAAAATTAGCTGGGCATGGTGGCGCGTGCCTGTAATCCCAGCTACTCAGGAGGCTGAGGCAGGAGAATTGCCTGAACCCAGGAGGCGGAGGTTGCGGTGAGCCAAGATCGCGCCATTGCACTCCAGCCTGGGTAACAAGAGCGAAACTCCGTCTAAAAAAAAAAAAAAAAAAAAAAAAAAATTAAAAAAAATAAAAATTAAAATAAAATAAAACAAAAACATAGATGAACCCCCTCTTGTGTTTTGTTGTGGTATTGCAAAATTTACAATTCATTAGTTAGGCAAAATATATTATAAATATTTTTATTAAACTTAGTTTTGCCATATATAAAATGCTCTGAAATTTGTGCAGCACTTTAATTGTAAAGCAGACATTTTTGCAGGCACTAAATCTTTTTTTTAATTAAAAAAAATTTAAAAAATTGAGACAGAGTTTCGTTCGTTTACCCAGGCTGGAGTGCAGTGACGTGAACTGCTCACTGAAACCTCCGCCTCCCGAGTTCAAGCAATTCTCCTGCCTCAGCCTCCTGAGTAGCTGGGACTACAGGCATGCGCCACCATACCCGGCTAATTTTTGTATTTTT